AGTAGCAAGCTTGAACATAAAATACTTCTGTATTATTAATTTAAAATAATGAAAAACTGGTGTAATATATTAAACTTAAAAAGTAGTTACCCACTAACATTTTTATCTTAATTTTAATCCACTACTCTAACCCATAATTAAAAAATTAACTAAATCCTAAAAATAAAGAACAAACTTTGATTCAATTAAAATTAAAAATAAAATATTCCTAAAGCATTTTCTTAACACTCCTCTTTGCTTTAGGAATTGCAAAAGTCCATGAAGTGTCAATCTGGCTTTAGTAAAAAATCTTTGAATCCTGAACTATGAATTCCAGCATAACCCTTCTTGATAGCTTCACCATTGATTTTATTAGCACCTTCAAGCTCCTTCTCTTCTTCGTCTTCATAATCAAGAAGGTCCTCCTCGTATGTCACGTTCCAATAAGATACTAAATTGTTTCCTAGTTCATTCATGGTCATCCATGATACAATCATGACCCTTTCCACATGGTCACCTATTATTATATGAACTTGCTGAGGAGCATTATAGCTAGATGGGTAGCAAATACATCACTTTGTAGGGCATTTCCTCAGTCCTATTGACCTTCTAGATGAAAGAAATTGTTTTGCCTCCATGGCAAACCATAACCACATTGAGAAGGATCAAAACCAATGTTGCAGCCATTGCTGCAAAATAAGAGAAACTTTTAGCACCCAACATATGATGAGGATGTCTTTTGTGCCAGATTTCTGTCACATTTTCCTTGAGTGAGAATACAATTTGCTCCTCCTCCAATGGTTTTAGAGCAAAGTTTTTCCCTTTCATTTTCACCTTGAACATATCTTGACCAGCTGCATCTTTAATCAAGCAATTTTTGTCTTCAAAAATAACTTTAAATCCTCTTTCAATCAATTGACCAACACATAACAAATTTTGGTCAATTTCTGGAACGAAAAGAATGTCGCGGAAATAAATTTTGTGCCTGCACAGCTTGTAATTGCAACTGTCCCCTTTCCTTTGACTGAGATATAATCACCATTACCTATTCTGACTTTGGTGACATCAGTTGGTTTCATATCTCTAAAGAGTGCCTTGTCAAAGGTCATGTGGTTAGTACAACCACTATCAATTAACCAAGATTCACTTGAAGCATTGGTTGAAAAACAGGTTGCAACAAAAAGTTGGTCTTCCTCCTCTTCATTTACAATTTGAGCATCTTTTTCCTGCTGCTGATTTTGGTTCTTGCATATGACATCTTCATGCCCCAATTGATTGCACTTTATGCATTTAGCATCTGGTCTCCTCCAACATCTGAATGGAGGGTGACCCATTTTGCCAGTGTTGACAATGAGGGTAATTTTTCTTTTAACCCTTTCCTTTGTTGTAATTATTTGCACTGCTTTGATTGCTGGCTGGATGATTCTTCTTGTAGTTTTTTGCTTGTTGGCTCACGGCTAGAAGAGCACCTTCAATGGCATAATCTTCCCTCATCAATTTTCGTTGCTCTTGGGCCTAGAAGGCATGTATCACTTCAACAAGAGTGATTTTAGATGTATCACTTCAACAAAAGTGATTTTAGAGGCATGTATCACTTCAACAAGAGTGATTTTAGAAATATCCTTTGTATTTTCCAAAGAAGCAATAGATGCTTCATACCTTTCTGGTACTGTCACCAAAATTTTCTCAACAATTCTAGAATCTTCAAAATTATTTCCCAATAATTTTTTCTTGTTGGCAATACCCAACAATTTGTCTGAATACTCCTTGATTGTGTCAGACTCTTTCATCCTTTGAAGTTCAAATTCTCTCATCAAGTTAAACACTTGCATGCTTCGAATTTTTTCATCTCCAGTATATTCTCTCTTCAGATAATCCCAAATTGCTTTTGCTGATTTGAGAGTCATGATCCTGGAAAAGATGGTTGCAGAGATGCCAGCATAAAGACATGACTTTGCTTTTGTTTTTCGGGTTTTCTTCTCCTTATGATTTTTTATCTGGGCCACAGTGGGATTGTCAAGTAGTAGAAGGATTTCATAATTTTCTTCTATGACTTCCCAAAGATCTAAAGCTTCTAGGTAAGCCTCCATTTTAACAGCCCAAAGATCATAGTTTTCCCCATTGAAAATTGGAAGAGTTGCTTGGGAGAAGCTTGTTTTAGAATCCATTCTAAGGTCCCGTAAGAAAAAAAGCTCTAGATACCAATTATTGGTTTTTTTATAATAAAAACAGTAGCACGCTTGAAGCTAAAATACTTCTGTATTATTAATTCAAAATAATGAGAAACTGGTGCAATATATAAAACTTAAAAAGTAACTACCCAGTAACATTTTATTCTAATTTTAATCCACTACTCTAACCCATAATTAAAAAATTAACTAAATCCTAAAAATAAGGAACAAACTTTGACTTAATTAAAATTAAAAATAAAATATTCCTAAAGTATTTTCTTAACAATGTTAACTCAATTTTTCCATGGGGAGGTTTTTTATTCTTTTTTTTAATATTGTTATCAAATCTTATTAGACATTACTATATATCAATCACATTTCAAATTAAGAAGTCTTAAGAAGGTACACACCAAAGGGATTATAGAAAGCTTAATACATCAAAGCAAAATTACACTTTTAATAATACTTTATTTTTCTGGCAATCTCTATGTTAAGAATAATAATATATAACACATCCCGAATTCCCAAAAAAATAATTATGTATTTTCGTATGCTGTTTGTGAAGAAAGATCCCATTGTTGTGTGTTCCACAATTCCTCAGTTAACACCACCTACATTAACCTTAACTTATCCAAAGAAATTGAAAAGAGTACATTTTTTCTAATATTATTATCAAAAAATTAATCATGTTTAATCATGTTTATTACAATTGTATGTTTTTATTTTGTTTTCTTGATCAGATTTGCACAGTTTACAACTTATTATTACACGTATCTAATTTATTACAGAAGATGATTTACATATACCGCCTTTATCTTTTTGTAATGATTATCATGGAATCAATCAAACTTCAAAATAACTTTAAAAATTTAACATTAATCTAATAAAAATAACTTAGATCATTTTAAAATATTTAATTGAATTTTTTATAAAAATTAAAAGACCAAAATAATATTTCAGTTTTTTATTCTTTTTTCACTAATAGGAGGAAGAGTAATTATTCTGCTATATGTTTGTTTTAATAATTTTTTTTTTTAAACATCAGGTATTACCATAACATGTTGCACAAGCTCGAAGGTAAGTTTAATATTATTCTTACTCTTTTCCTTGCTTATTTAGTAAGGCCAGATTAGTCAAAAAAACAGTTAAACTATGTTAGAATATTCTTAACGGATTAAAAAAAAATTAATGATTATATTCAACTATATATAAATTATGATATTACGATCTGTTGATTTGATTAGAATAATTAATAACTAATTATTAAATTACATTACAGCAATTAGTTTTATATTAATTAACTTAAAAGTTTTGATGGCAGTTACTGAGAATTTCACCTGCGCAATCTGTTTGGTACAGTGTATAAACTATAAGGTTAAGACTTTTGACTCAAAACCCTAAATTTATCAATTGATAATATTAATATGTTATTAATTTTTCTGCTGAATTATTGTTTCAGAGTTTAAAATTCCACTTAAGGTCGTCGCACCAGATATTTAGGTTTGGATTTTCGGTAAGTAATTCTGAAAACTCTGACTAGCTTTACGATGACGAAATTACAGTAAGCCTGAATAATTCTGCAGGAATCAGAAGAATTTCCATCTATATCTATATCTGTGAAGAACGAAAACTGGTTGCGAGAGGTTCGAACATTTTCTCTTTAATTTTTATAATTCTGTATCATTGTTGGCACACATCTATACTTTATATGAAGTTTTCTGAGAATTTAGGGTTTGGTCCTCAAATTGATTCTTTAATTTCCCTGCAAATTGATGCAGTTCATTGATCCAAAAGTTGATACTTTTATGTACTGGTAAGCTATTTTAATTTCACACTGCAAATATGAAATTTCTAACCCCTCATATAGATCCGTGGTATGAAGTAAAATTTTAACTAACAGTATGTTTATGAAGTGTCAAAAAACCAAAGAGCAGAAAGATGAAAACTTCATCTCATGGAAGAAATGATACAGATCCGCTAGTGTTAGATGTGGAACTACGTATTGGTATTGCGAATGCTCGGCTACAGGAGAACATGGGTACGTCGATGTGGGACTTACAACTATTTGTATCAGTTACTTTACTTGGTGATGCAATTTATGTTCTACTAGTTGTGGAACACTCATTAATATTGCATCACATACTCAAATGCAATTGTTTTATATGCTACTTCGGATATTTCCCTACCAATATTTGTTTATTTGTTTCTGACGATGGATCAAATGCAGTGCAACAAAACCAGCCCGACAAGGTTTCAAATAATGTAATGTTACCCATGGGACCATCAAATTCTGATCAGAAAGACCAGACACTTACAACTTTAGAAGTTGAGCAGGAACAGGTTTCAAATGCAGTATCAGATCCGTCTCAATGTTGTGTCTCATCAGTGTCTGATCATGATGAGACACTTGGAGTGCAGGAAGTTGATCATGATGAGACACTTGGAGTGCAGGAAGTTGATCATGATGAGACACGTGGAGTGCAGGAAGTTGATCATGAAGAGATTTCAAATGCAATTGTGGTGTATACTGGTAAAGATTGTGTCCTGGCAATGTCTGACCATGATAGTGGGGCACTTGCTGTGGTAGAAGACGATGTTTCAAATGCAACTAATTGGCGTATTATTTGGCGTGTCTCTCCAAATTATGAGCATGATAATGGGGTAGATGCTGTGCCACAAGATGCTGTGCCACAAGATGCTGTGCCACAAGATGCTGTGCCACAAGATGCTGTGCCACAAGATGTTGTGCCATAAGATGTTGTGCCACAAGATGCTGTGCAACAAGATGCTGTGCAACAAGATGTTGTGCAACAAGATGTTGTGCAACAAGATGAGGTTTCAAATGCAATAATGTTACATCCTAGTCCTGATTTTATTCCATATGTACCCATGAATGAAGGTACAAGTTCAGTGACACAAGCTGAAGAGAAAGAGAAGTTACTAAGTCAACACTATGACCCAAATATGTAAGTGTGATTTTTTTTAAAATTTATATGGAAGTAATGATATATACTGTAATCACTTGTTAAAATGTTATTAATTAAATCAAATATTACTATTATTATATTATAAAAGTCAGTTGTATATAAGAAAAATTGAACCATAGTTTTTACTTTACGTAGTGCTTAAATAAAACATGTTCTACTATAATCTTGATATAATGAACAAAGATCATAATGGATATAGGTTTTGACATCATTATTTTTCAAAACATTTCAGGCTTGCTCGGTGGAAGAAGCGAACGTTTTATCATTCTCACACATTCCAGGTGATGAAAAATGACATTTTTTTTATAGTTTTTGTGTTTTTTTTTATAGATTTATGCCTGTTTTTACTGATTTATGGCTATATTTTGGGGGCACAAAGGCTATGGATCTTGAAGAAGTGGTAAAGGATGAAGACAGTGAGGATGAAATTAATGAGGGCGCTCGAGTGATTGAAGATAGAAGAGTATAAGTCATTTTCTGTTTTCAATTTATTTAACTCTAAACAACAAAATCAGTTATGTTTTGAGGAATCATTATTAACTGAGAAAATTGATATGCAGAAACTTGAGCTTCTTGGTCTTTCTGAGGATCAGAAGCGGCTCGTAACTATGTGGACCTCATTTGTTAAGAAACATCGGTAAGTTGTTCTTGTTTTGATTCAAATCCTTTACTTTTTTTTGGATTTGAACTTGTTGCTTTTGGATTTCTACTTTCTGGTATCTGTAATTAATTTTGTTCTTGTGGCAGTGTGCTGGTAGATGGCCATATGAATTGGGCATACGAAGTTTTCACAAAATATCATTGTGCTGAGCTTGTCGATTCCACCCCATTAGCCTGGTAACTAGCATCACTTCTGTGTTTTCCATGTTCTAATTTTTTTTACCTAATTCTACACTTTTCATCATTTTGTAAGCCTCTTTTATATATATCTTTCGAAATAATCTCTATTTTTCTTGGAATAGAGCTTCCTAAACAATTTTTGTTCTGCATATTTTGATTTTCATATAATATATATTATTTCATTTTGGCAGTTTTTGTGGCTTTACTTATAATTGTGAAATGAATGATTTGGCAGGGCTTGGAGATTGTTTATGATAAAACTATATGATATGGGTCTTCTAAAGCCAAAGACTGTGGCTGCATGCGCTGCCATTCTTCAACAATACAGGGAACAGAAATAAGATCCAAAAGCTAAGGCCTTTCCTAACCCTTTTTCAAAATAAAAGAAACAAATGAGAAAGAAAAAAACTTCTCTTTGTTGTACTTTACTACTTTCCAACTTTTAATTGCTATCTTTGTTGTACTATTACTACCTTCCAACTTTCAATTGCTCCTTTGTTGTGTGGAGCTGAAGCAAGCTATCAGTTTCATGTATTTTCTATTTATTTCTGTTTCATATATTTTCTGTTTATTTCTGTTAACAGAGATTTTCAGGTTCACATTTTCAATTTATGATTCAAATTTAGTAAATTTACCATTTGTTTCGACTATATATGCTCACATTTTCAATTCATGATTCAAAGCTCATATTTTCAATTCATGATTAAACTCAGTAAATTTAAATTCAGTAAATTTAAATTCAGTAAATTTACTATTTGTTTGGACTATATATGCTGTGAATACAATGTTTAATTTTGTTTGGACTATATATGCTGTGAATACAATGTTTAATTTCGTGACTGAGATTCTGCCTTGGAAAATTCAGTTCCTGCAAAATAATGTATCTTGATTTAGCCTATGATTATCCCGTCTCTTATCATTTCGTCACATATTGGATAAGTATGTCATACGTCTCTTACATCATTTATGTGTATTTCTCGTTAAAAGCATTTCTATCTCCTTTTTATGACGTCTCTTACACCACAAACTATATTTCATTGAACCTATTCTCCCATTTTATATACCAACAATCTCTTGAGTTATACATATTGTTTCACTTGGCTATTCCAACAATACAAGGATTTCCCAACAAACACTTAGAATTTGTATTTTTAAGAAAATAGGAATAAAGAAAAAGGGAGTTTTTTCTACACAACAGGTTTTCTTCCTGCATTATTTTGACATTAATCCCGACCCCGACTCCAATATAATATAAAGTATACTATAAAGATAGATAGTTTAATATAATATAAAGATATATACCCGCTATAGATAATTTAATATAAGGATATATTTTCAAGCTATACATTTTTATAATCTCATTAAAAAATTAGTCACCATGATTCAAAATAGTTGTTTTAATTCTATCAAAATAAATCAAATTTGTTTTTCAAAATGGGTCATGAGAATGGTTACNCACAAGATGCTGTGCAACAAGATGAGGTTTCGAATGCAATAATGTTACATCCTAGTCCGGATTTTGTTCCATTTGTACCCATGAATGAAGGTACAAGTTCAGTGACACAAGCTGAAGAGAAAGAGAAGTTACTAAGTGAACGCTGTGACCCAGATATGTAAGTGTGATTTTTTTTGAAATTTATATGGAAGTAATGATATATAGTGTAATTACTTGTTAAAATGTTATTAATTAAATCGAACATTACTATTATTATGTTATAAAACTCAGTTGTATATAAGAAAAATTGAACCATAGTTTTTACTTTACGTAGTGCTTAAATAAAACATGTTCTACTATAATCTTGATATAAGGAACAAAGATCATAATGGATATAGGTTTTGACATCATTATTTTTCAAAACATTTCAGGCTTGCTCGGTGGAAGAAGCGAACGTTTTATCATTCTCACACATACCAGGTGATGAATAATGACATTTTTTTTATAGTTTTTGTGTTTTTTTTTATAGATTTATGCCTATTTTTACTGATTTATGGCTATATTTCGGGGGCACAAAGGCTATGGATATTGAAGAAGTGGTAAAGGATGAAGACAGTGAGGATGAAATTAATGAGGGTGCTAGAGTGATTGAAGATAGAAGAGTATAAGTCATTTTCTGTTTTCAATTT